CTCAGGAAAAAAGGTGGTCTCAAGCCTGAGAAAGAGCAAAAAGGAACATACTGGACATAAAAAATACACAACATAATTAGAATTCCACACTATTCAAGTTCTATTCAACACAAATGTTTCAATCTAGCAATCACAATATCATATCATGTTTAAGAATAACTTCAAAGTGTTTCAATTTAATCAAAAAGGACGGTCCTTCCCTCCTTCTCTGTAATAATATGTACACAAACAACACTGCCTTACTGTGTTGTCAAACAACAGTGTCATGTAACAAGACTGGACATAATGGCCACTACAGAAAGTAACCTCACTATTACTGATACTGATGCCAAAGACCACACAAAGCCATCGTAGTACCATGGGCCATTGAAGCCAACATGTTCGTCAACAGTTTTGACCAAAGGTCCTCACAGCAGTCTAAACTGACATGACCATGTCATTTTTGTCATCTGAGAGGCTATTTGGTACTGCAAAATATTGACTTTAGTCTCTTGAGAGGCCAGAATGAAACTGAAGTAACAGAACCCTGTTAGATTGGTCTTTGAAAAAGAGCTTCAAAAAGACAAACAAGGAGGCTCCTATGGGCCATGGTACCATCAGACACTAATGTTATCTTTTCAGAGATGGCACTGACTACAAAGGAAATATTTTTCTGACTCTTCCAATTTTAACAGGTCTTTTCAATTTATTAGCCAATCAGAAATAATAAGGAATAATATATAACCCACATGAAAAAAGATTTTAGACTCCTTTCTCTGGACAATTTTTAGTCCATTTAATACTGTTAACCTGCTCTGACTAAGAAATCACCTTTCTAGGTTGGACAAAGAGTTATAAACTGCTATAGCACATAAAATTCCTTTGAAATGGAATCAAATAACACTATCAATGTAAGAACAAATTTCTCTGTTAATAACAATGAAGTTAATTAACCCATCCCCAGGTGACCGAGGACACTCTCTGACCATTTCCCTCTTAAACTGACCACAGGACACTTGATAGCCTGTGGATTTAACAATTCACCATAAATGTCTGACACAATTTCTGTGACATGCCACCTTTTCATTTATATCAGTGACATAATATAACCGAAGTTAAATGAACTGAAGGTACTAACCACAAAAGAAAAATAAATGTCCATCTCCAACATATTTGGGAAAAAAGATATTGATTGGGAAAATGACCAATTAAATTGGAAATATTAGTCAGCATGCCAATTTATTGGGCAATACAGGTCAGACATACCTCAACATGCCAGAGGAAATGACACAAGATGAGTTGAGAAAATGATTATCACAAACAACACACTGGCAAATGACCAGACTGGACTTTCCTGACCACTTTCCTTAAGAAGGCAAAAATTTGATACTGGCAATGACTAATGAGTTTAGCACCAGTGGCTTTGTCCAAGGTGTGGTCAATACTGGTCAGATCTGCCTACCTGGAAAACTGACCCTCAGATGAGAATACAGCCCTTTATTAAAGGTATTGGGAATTGGATCCCACCTAGCTCACTGGCCATTACAGGGGTAGCTTTATTCAATCCGCTATTGAGGACTGTTAATGATGAAAAGGTGAACAAAGGCTTAAATCATATACTCTGTGTTCAGTACTCGAGCCGATTATTGATTCATTGGATGTTTTTCTAGTAAACTGCAAACTTATAGGTGAAGAACTATTTGCTGTTTACGGATCTGATCGCGAAGAAAGAAATTTCTTTCAGCGCAATTGGACACAAGCAACAGATTTCATGTTCCCCGCGGAATCAAAAGCGGTGTTATGGCCACTGTGCACTAAGTTTTAACTGTGTTGTCATATGTAGTTTTGAAAATCATACTTGTGGAGTCCTACTTGGGGCACATTCTATCGCAGGTGGGAACTTTAGCTTACACAAGGGCAGAATATGGTCCTCAAATTTCTTTCTCTGTACACTTGATATAAAGTATACAATGGCAAACATTTCACAACATGCACTAGATAACACACTTCACATTCTGTCAACATAATTTTCTTTTTAAAATGCTTCTGCTAAACTCATAAAGGTCTGCAGGTTTTTGGCTAAATTATTTACAGGGGTTAAGATGACAAAAAAAGGACTTCATTTGGTGATTAATCAATGAATTTGGTTCACAAATTTTATGGATAAAACATAAAACTTTGTATCTTTCAATAAAGCCAAGCTATGTACCATGAGAGAAGTTTTCTGCTGTGGGCATAATTATAGGCCAGTGCTGAAATTTGTCAAATCCATGTTCAGTTTGACTGGAAACAAGGACTTAATCAAATTAAGTCATCACAACTGGAGTGCAGACACACTTTCCATCACAACTGGTCATTCTACTCTTCAAATCTCAATTAAATTGCCAACTAGAGTGTAAATGCACCTTTCATTACTCTCGGTCGTTTCTGTCCACAAACCACTTATTGAACATAGTGGTGACATCATTGCACCTCCGGCCTCTTGAACGCAATAAACGCATATTCCTTCAATTCAAATGCCAGGTTATAGAAATTTCTATCCCTTTATGTCCTTCGGTCAGGACTTCTGGTGATTAATTCTTATTAATCCACATGGGATTGCATCCATGACATCATTTAGAGTTCGCATGCTGTATTAAATTCATTAACATATATCCCTCTTGGTGAAAATTTCTCATAATTTTCTCGAAAAACAATTCCCTTGTAAATGTAAATGCTAACATGTCATGCATCTAATCTGAAACAACTTCTATTTCTATAGAAATCAGGAGGGGGAGAGCCAAAAGTAACTGCTGAAGGGTTCTGGGTTTTTGGAATCCGGTGACTGGTTTATTAAATCATTGAATATGAGCATGATAATGCCATCCCATGGCTCACTTGTACAAGAACTCTTTTGCAAATAAAGACAGAAGGGTGGGTTACATGTTCTGGTTGAAAAGAGAGGGGGGGGTACAGGGGTATCAGGTGAAAAAAGATGGCGGTAGGAGGGAAAATGGGAGGAGTATGGGCAAACAGGATAAAAATAGATGAAAAAGTTGAAAAGTTGCATCAGCATATCACATCAAGTCTCTTGAGCAAACCAGTCACTGGCTGGTATATAAAGGATGAGTTACCAAGTCACAGATGCAAATATAAATACATTTTAATCTCATCAATGAACTGCATATATCTTATCATGTTCAGAGAAGCAAATTAACTGAAAGTTAAATGCTCATAATCTCACAGGTACTGTTATCATTCCCCCTGTTCATATCGAAAAGGAAAACAGCAAATATGCACGTTTACAAATCTTACAGGTTATGCACAGATAGTGAGAAATATCTACCATCAATAGCCCAACATTCTAAACCTCATTATTTTTAGAAATAAAATGAGATCACAACCCTTCTCCCAAGCCTCAAATTTTAAAGCCCGATGTTAAGAAATAAGTAATCCTAAGTGTAAATATGCCCCCAGAGAAGTAAACAGAAACTATTGAGGGGAAGTTTCTATCCTCTAAAATAAAAACTGTACCCCTTCAGAACAGACTCAATTTATAACCAATGTGAACACAGCCACTGTCCCGTCTTAAGCTACTGCATGAATATATCCCTTCTATCCCGTCTCTGATCGTTCTTATCACAGCAGTAAACACACTGTTTGATCAGCACACACACAAACATACCAGGCCAGCCAAAACAATCCCCTTAGATTTGTACAAGTATCAGACTATGTGTGTGCTTAGGGATCTTCTCGGGTTTACGGAATCAAATTGCTTTGCATACATGAATCTTGTCTGAAGTGAGATAGAGAGCACGTGCAAGATTGGGTATCATAATAACAAACAGGTGGTGAGGCATGTTGGCTCCACAGTTAACTATGTAGATACATCTTTGTGCATTATCAGAAATTATCATTTTAAATACTAGAGTGTATTTAAATTGAAGATAGGCCAACCGTTCTTAATGCAACTTTTTGCTGCAGACTACTTGAATCAGCTAAGCTCACTTATGAAAGTAACTCTCACACTGTTGCCAGTTATTTCAAAGAAGAGGGGGGTTATTCTTTTTCTGAAAAAACTGACCTATTTACACCCCTGCGTTGACCATGTGACAAATGTTATTGAACACACTAGGTGAAATTCTCATTTTTAAAATGGGGACCTTATCTGGCCAAAAAGATGGTTCTTTCAATTCAACCCCCCCCCTTCCCATTTACTGGCCTCTAACCCCTTTCCCATCCATCTCCACTAAGATCAGACACTTGCTGACTATGGAGAGCTCGGCCCCATAACTCGAAAGCATCGCACGTTGTGACCAAGCGTAAGCCTCTCGATTCCATAACTCGCCCATACTCGGCCCATATAATACTTTGTAGCCTCTATGTGATATCACTATTCGCAAAGCGCGATGCTTTCGAGTTACTGGGCCCCAATCTTAACTGAGCAGAAGAATTTTAGCAAAATGGTTTCATCCATCTTTCACAATATATGTTTTCTTATACACGTCTTTAAGCTATTTTGATGAAATCAAAGAAAACATTAAAGAGAAGACCATAAAATTCCTTGACTCCTCACTTAGAATAACATTATTAAAATCTATTGCACAGGCAAATTTTGCAAGGGCTTTTCTGGGGTTGAGGGCATAAGGGGCAATGAACTTTGTCAGACAACTCTCTCTTCAATAAAATCTTTTATGCGTGTAGACTTGCTCAGTAAAGAAATGTAATTCTGCACTCCCCAGTGTACCATTAAGGAAAATCCACAGATCTGCAAGCTATTTTTACACAACACTTTAAGCATGCCAAGTATGTTAAACTTGGCTTACAACACTGACTACACAAATCATTATTCATGACATTTTTGTGAATTAAAAGACAAATCTTACATTTTAAATTTTAATGCAAAAATAAAGTTAATAAATAAAATAAAATAAAACAAAATAAAATAAAACAAAACAAAATAAAATAAAATAAAATAAAATATCAACCACCATAAGGCAAAAGGCCAATAATATTAATCGACACAAAAAACGTAAACTTACCATGAAAGAAGTTCTAACGGTCACTACAGTTGGGCCTTGCAGTTGGCCTCCATCTGGGAGAGAGTCCAGCAGAGTGGCCTTGCTGACTTCCTCTGGCACAACTACATGGAGGCCCACAAGAGACAAGAGAACAAGGGACCAAGTGCTTCCAAACATCATGATGGCAGTTCTGTTAGTATCTCATGACAGCCTGAAAATGCTATGTATATGTAATGACATTTTGAAGTGTTTATTGTTATTCTAACATTACACAAACTTTAGAGATATAAATATGGGTTTCAAGTTTTTGTTAATATGACACTTGAAATACTGATTATTCATGACAATGTTTGGCAGACTGAATACCAGTACTGCAGTGAAGATGACCTAGAAGAATAAGCACACAGACTAAAAGTGAATGACTCAAAATACTGGTTGTAATGCTGTTGCATTGATACCTTGCCTTTGAACATTATAATGCAACAGAAACAGCAGATGTGCAGAAAAAAAAAGTGACACAATATGCATACTGGCATATTCCAAAGTATTTATCCTTCTGTGACATCTTTAATCTGAAGGATTTTCTGCATCTCAGGTTGTTACCAATTTATTTCAGGAGTAAATTTTAATAAATTTATCATGAAAAAATATTATATTGAATAAACTGTATGTCATACAGATGAAAATACATTGGTATGGGTTTTAAGAAAAATAACATGCTATTCGGTGCAAGTAATTCGCAATCACACTGCATTCTGGTGACATCTCGCGGTAGGAGAATCCAAGGAAAACCTCACAGCAAAACTAATTACGCTGACACTTGGCAGCCACCTTACTTTTTTTTTTTTTGTCAAGCTCAAGCAAAGGCGAGTGTCACTAACGCTGCGTTGAGCGTTACATCACTTACCCAACGACTGCGACCGGCAAACAGACACTCCATTAACCACTGGCTACACCATACTTCTACAATTGGACTAAAAGCGGCATTTAAGGTCTGAACACCATCGCATTTGATTCAAATCCCTTCTCACAGTCACTTTCGTCTCAGCGCTATCACACGCACCTTGGCTCTTCTTCTTACTGTGCTCCCTCCTTCTAATTATTGTTTCATTCTCTCGCTGTATTTCGGTGGACGCTTCATTGCAAAATGCTTTGTAGTGCCTCTTTTTAAATTGAAATAGACAGGCGGTGGAACCCTATGAAATATTGAACAGACCGGTTTGAAGATAAAAATATCACGACTAACAAGTTAATTGGGTCTGATAAGTGGGAGGCAGTGCAACTGACGTGCTGGCATAAATAAACCATGCTGAAGAGCGAAGCTGCTTAGCGGCGAGGAGACACTCGCTGCGACTCACGAGTTTAGTTGCTAAATTTAATAGTAAAATGGCTCGGATGACAGAAGCTAAACGCCGAGGTACACCTTAGAGGATTGTGAGTTAATCTCACGAGGTTTACTGTCGCTTAACCATGACGCCTAGAAAGGAGCTTACTCGCACGTTGTCTGGTGTCGTACTAATGATGGTAGCGTTGGTCGCGGTTGACTATGTCAACGCCACCGACGCCGGCGACGAAGCATGCGGATATATATCTTCACATAAAAAGCTAGAGATCAGAGGAACGTGGGGAGCAAAACCGGCGCTGCACATCAGACAGAATGTCAAGGTAAGATAATGTGACTGTTTTTCTTATTAAAGTCAACAGGTAAGTGGGTTTAAGAGAAGCGCGTGCTTGCCGACTGAAAGTTTCCCCAACTTTTCTATGGTGTCTCATGGGTGCCGTGCGGTAGAATTACATGCGGCGTAACATCTCTGATATGTTGTTTGGCGTTGGCTATTATTATTATTTTATTTTTTGTAGATCACGTCATTGTTTTTCATGGATGCAGTGTTAATTTTTATGTAAAACGCTGGTGATGTGTATTTTGAAATGTTTTCCCCCTTTTTTTCCCCCAAATGCTCAAAATTGCCCAATAAACCATTCCATTCTTGATGCTCCATAAAGTCTTTTGACTTCATTAATTCAGTGGAATATAAATTGACCCAGGAATAATCACAGTTACAAATACTCCAACTTAGCAAACACTAGGCGGTCTCCTCCATTTATTCAATCAAGAGGCAAGACAGTTTGCAAGTCTATTAGATGACATTCTGCACTGTAGGGCTCTAGAAAAATTGAGATCCTTTCAAGTACGGCAAATATGGATTCCAGAGGGCATGATTCTTCATTGTTCTGATATCCAAAAGTCAATTCTTTGAATGGGTTTAGTTTAATATGGTCTCAGTTTGATTCATTCCTAAGAAAGTAAAAATAATGATTAAAAAATTTAAAAAAAAAGAAACAAAATTTAGTTTTCTTGCTTGTAGATTAAGCATCTAACAGGTTTATATCTACACATGTCTAATCTACTCAAGTGTTTCAGAAATAAAGCCATTTATGTTCACAGTGTTTGACTGAGACTTAATTGTTTCATTGCCAATTTTGAACACCATGTATACATATATAGAGTCAGTATTTGTAATACATGAGCGTTACCATACCCACAGTGAAGATAAACCTCCTCTGTTAAAGACAATAAGATCTAGATCTAGAGTTAACAGTCTAAGTCTGTTACAAGAATGCCATACACAAGGTTTTAAGTCAGTGAAATCTTTCAAGTGTGTTATTGGTATGCAAGTCTGATCTTTAGGAATCAATAGCCGGCTTCTCAGTTGGCTTCTAATCACAAAGCTTATTAGAAGATGGACTAGCCGAGAGATATAGATACCTGGGGACGCACCGGTCTTTAAAAGGGTCACTTTAACTTCAGGATGTAGATTGAATTTTTTTTCTTCTTGGCTCACTCACTAAATATGAGATAGAAAGGTGGGCCAAAATCAATGCTAGGAGAAAGAATGGAACTTGCCAAATTGGGTTTTACAAAGCACTTATTCAAGTAGAATGCACTAACATTGGTTTTCTGCTGAGTACCTTATCAGCATCCAGAGCATGTCTTTTTAATGAACTTTAATCTACTTACTTTTCTTATTCTACTTCCACAGTTGGCAGTTGTTTAGATGGTTTAAATCACTTCATCGGAGTTAATGTTTTGCCTTTTTTGTTGAAAAAAAAGGTTGGTAAGTGTAATAGGTATCTGATTTTTTTAAAAGAGGAAGAAATCTGATCCTTGTGTCTTCTGGTAATAATTGTCTTTAGAATTTGAAAGTAAATTGTGGAGCTACATACCAAACTCTACTTTTGAAAGTTTTTCTTTTTATTGAAGGCACTATTTTTTCCAATAAAATCTAAAAATATCTTCTAGACCAAAGATCAAGCATTTAAACTGCAAACTACTTGATGAAAATGTAAGATATGATATCTAATACTGAGTCCAATATGAAGAAGCCCAAGACAGTAACAACTTTACTTCTTATTGATTTGGAAAGTTTATATCAGCTATGGAAAATTAACTGAAGCCCTGAAGAACTAATCAATATATGAATAAATTCAAGAAGTATCAGAAAAGAATTTGAGCAAAGACGCGCAGTATGCTTACAGTTACACTGGCCAAATTTTGATTGGTTGCAATTAGCATTTAATTGATATAGATAATCAGCTTTACCATGACTTAATCAGATCATTGTCAGATCTGTAATGGGAAACGTGCTTACGTGGAATATGGAAGTTCGTTGGTGACCAATGGATCAGAGAATAACATATGATCACAATAACAAGAAGATGATGTCAGTCATACTGTTTTGGAACTGATTTTAATTTTATTGAACTTAACCACTAATTAGGGAACTTTGACTTTGGAGAAGGCATTTCTTTTTTGTTTCATCTGAATTTTTATTTTGTTGTGAAAAATGTTTTTTTTTTTTTTTTTAATTTAAATAACTTGGGATGGACAAAATGTATAGTGGGGTAGAATTGTAGACTTTGAGTGATGCTATAAACAAAGTTTTCATCTTGAAGCTGCTGTTTATCCATTTCACAGTCACTCAACTGTGGTTATGGACAAGTTGGAAATACTACAGAGCTCTTTTTAAGTGTAGTTGTTTCTACCTAGCTTTCCCTGAGAAAACATGCTGGCTGATTAAATAACAATTAATGCACTCAGTTGAGCTCTTAAAACCTTGATTGCCAGCTTATTTTGTGTACTGTAGTAATGCTTTTGGAGACAGAATTCCTTGTAAAGAAAACAGAGGAAATGACACAATCCTTGTCATTGTCGCGGTGTGTGAACAGTTTCTTTCCATCAATTTTCTTTTTGTTTTGAAATGTTCCCTTCTTTCCTGCACAATGAATACACTGGTTATTAAATTACCATAGAGAATGGATTAAGGAAAAAGCCAAATTTACTTTTATGTTTTGTCAAAAAATAAATGTAACTATATATATTTTATTCAAATCAATTTTTCTACCTAGACAGAACATTAAATCTGTGTTATATTTCAGGGGCGGATTTAAGCCGTCTTCTGGGTCTTCCAGAAGATGGTCAGATTTTCAAGTTTACATTGAATGGTATCTATCTTTTTCTGTCGGAAGACGGTCAAAAATGGAGGATGGATCCACAAAGATAATTTGGAAGACTATCAGAAAATATCTCTGGATCCGCCCCTGTATTTGTCTTTTTTATTTAAGTCTCCTAAACTACCCCATTATTTTTGCAATCCCCCCCCCCCCTTCAGCAGTTAATACAATATATATTTTTGATGATTTGAGATGCCCCCTGAACAACACTGTGAATGTAGTAATTACAGAGACACGGAAAGCAGCACAATTACATTTCAGATACTCAATCAAAATAGTAGCAGTATCGACTAATCTTTCATGGTCTCATTAGAGCACTAATTATGTTAGGTCTATGAAAGTTTTCATTAAGAAATACCATTACGCCATCCCCATAATTCTCTGCATGACAACTGGTCTTGGCACAGTCCGTAGTTTCAGGTGCAATGAAAATGTAATGCCTCATTTGATGCAGATTGCATGTGTTTAAGTTTTCTGGATTATGCCAGATTTCCGGATTTTCAGTCTTTATTTTCATCAATTTTCTCAAATTGTCTAAATCTTCTTAGGAATTGTAAAGGGGTGGGGGGGGGGGTGTCTGGTAAGCTACATTCACCCATGAAAATAAGACTATTTAACTATTCAAAGATACAGGGTTATGGCATGAGAAATACAATTAGCCAATTTTTCTTGCTCCTCATTATTTTTCTGCTCAGCTGTCTTACTGTCATGACATAAGGCTCCAAACTCCCAAATCCCTTTTTAAAATGAATTTTTATCCCTGGGAATGGTAACCTTCATCTTTATATATTTTCACTGTGTTAAAAAAGGGCAGTGTTCAAGCAATGGGTGGTGTCATTCCATCTCTAAAAAAAGATGTTACATTCCTTTGGACATTGCAGACATTGGAGAAGGTTATCTAAAAAAGAGATAAGAACCTTCAAGGCAAGAGATGGTACTTTCCTTATATTGTGCTTTTATGTATGGTATTTCGCATACAAATAGAAATTGACAGACCTATTCTCTTGTCTTGTTAGACTAGTTGCCAGTCTCAAGTCATGTGTGATTGCAGATTGCATTAATTTTACAGTAACTTCTGAGGTTAGAAAGAACATCAATGATTCACCTGTTGAGGATTATATAGGTCAGCTACAAGGGTAGATAAATATATGTTTAATCGAACAGTAAATAGGTCTTGAATAAATGTAAGAGTGATGTTTTATGGATTTGTACATCCATACAGCTCCTGGTTTGAAGATGAACTCAAAATAACCACACACACACACACACGCATACACACACACACACACGTGCAGATATCTTCTTTATGCACGATAAACATGGTCATGTAAAAAGCATGCTTTCCCATGCTTGCACACACATATATGTAAGAAGTTACAATGTGTTACTCATAACTCATTAACTATGAATAAGGTTATGGTATTGAAAATTAAAAAAAGCCAATTTCTGCTTGTGAGCCTAGGGTATCTAGCATCAATAAATCAAACTGTTCAGATAGACTGCTTTGACGTTTCCACAAGATGTACCCACTTTGTATTCCATGCATGCAAATATTGAAATATACGAGTGAGCCACGTTCACACAAAGACTAAGTGAGACCGGAATATGTATGTTATGATTAGTCCCAGTTACCGCCAGAAGAATTCTTAAGCTGTATTCACAACCTGTTGACCAGAGGTCTAACAGATCCTCGGATCTTGAATATGGCCAAGCCACTTCAAAGCTTGCCGCATAATCTCTTAGTAGACACTGAATTAATTTCCTGCCATAATTATGCAGCAGGCCTTCAAATGGGGTGGCCATATTTGATCTGCAGATCTGTTAGTCCGTGGATCAACTTTGGTTATGAATATGGCCTATGATTGGGTCATTATGTGGAATTCACATTAGTGGACCAAGGATTTGGCAAGGTTGAGGCAGATATAAAAATAAATGTCACTTATCTGGGAACCTTCAGTTTTTATTATGGATAGGGTTGACTCCTGGGGATTGGCCCAGACCTCCCCGTACTGTTGTGAGGGTTGTTTTACCTTATCTTCTTTTTAACCTCTGACTCCCAGCATGGAGCACCCCTCGTTATCTTAATTGACTCTCTGGAAAAGAGGAGCGAGGAAAATATACGCCTGTTGCGTTTGCCAATATTTGTGTATAAA